CCCAGTCTGAGGAAATAATGAAATTCAATTGAATTCTTTAGTTAATGTGCCAGGAAAACCATTACTCCAGTCAAATGGAGAAGTTACTCTGTGGGACACAGGAAAAATGGGTTGGAATTCTGTGTTCTCAAGTACAGTTTGCTCTAATTTACATATTTTTTTCCAGTGAAAAAATAGAAGAAGTGGCAGTGAGGATGAAGAGGAATTTGTACTGACTTCGTCACACCCCACCTTCCCCCTTTTGCTGTCTTAATATTCCTCCAATTAGGAGAAATCCTAATTAAGCACTAATTTACCCCGTCAGATCTGTCTGCATGGAAAGAAGTCAGATTTATTGGAGCTACTCCTGATTAACTGGGTGAGTTTTCCAGAACTTTTCCATTCATTCCTGGCCCCTGCCAATCCCTCAGCTGATTTCCAACCCTGGAAATCCTGGAAACGCCTCTCTGGAGGCAGATTTTGGGATGTGCCATGAGTGCAAAGGCAGCTCAAGGGACAAGTGTTCCCAAAGGAGAGCTATCAGAAAATCAGGGAATTGCTGAGATTGGAAAAGCCCCGTTGGATCATCGACTCCAACCAGAATCACCGACTCACGGCTGGGTGCAGAAACCACAGGAGCAGATGAGAAGGTGAAGCTCAAATTAAACAAGAATATTTAACGTTGTGTCAGCTCTAATCCCAAACCCCTGGATGTGTTGGAAAGATTCCTGTGAACTCTGGAACACAGAGTCTGGATCCTTGAGGAAAACAGGAGTTCACTTGGAGGGTGAAATGCTGGGCTGGAAACCCTTCCCTGCTCCGTGGGAAAGATTTCAGAGGAACCCGAGTTAATGTTTCTTTTAATGCTCCCTTGGGATCATCTTTCCTCCACTTGACTCCCAAACCCTGGCAAAATGTTGATATTATTGGGAACTTTGTGTGCTCTGAGGCTACTGGAAACTTGGAAAACAGTGGGAAAAGTTGGAGGATCTGAGCTCACATGCAAGGATGGGGAGGAGAATGGAGGAGGAAAGGGAAAGGGAAAGGGAAAGGGAAAGGGAAAGGGAAAGGGAAAGGGAAAGGGAAAGGGAAAGGGAAAGGGAAAGGGAAAGGGAAGGGAAAGGGAAAGGGAAAGGGAAAGGGAAAGGGAAAGGGAAAGGGAAAGGGAAAGGGAAAGGGAAGGGAAAGGGAAGGGAAGGGAAGGGAAGGGAAGGGAAGGGAAGGGAAGGGAAGGGAAGGGAAGGGAAGGGAAGGGAAGGGAAGGGAAGGGAAGGGAAGGGAAGGAAGGGAAGGGAAGGGAAGGGAAGGGAAGGAAGGGAAGGAAAGGAAAGGAAAGGAAAGGAAAGGAAAGGAAAGGAAAGGAAAGGAAAGGAAAAGGAAAGGAAAGGAAAGGAAAGGAAAGGAAAGGAAAGGAAAGGAAAGGAAAGGAAAGGAAAGGAAAGGAAAGGAAAGGAAAGGAAAGGAAAGGAAAGGAAAGGAAAGGAAGGAAAGGAAAGGAAAGGAAAGGAAAGGAAAGGAAAGGAAAGGAAAGGAAAGGAAAGGAAAGGAAAGGAAAGGAAAGGAAAGGAAAGGAAAGGAAAGGAAAGGAAAGGAAAGGAAAGGAAAGGAAAGGAAAGGAAAGGAAAGGAAAGGAAAGGAAAGGAAAGGAAAGGAAAGGAAAGGAAAGGAAAGGAAAGGAAGGAAAGGAAAGGAAAGGAAAGGAAAGGAAAGGAAAGGAAGGAAGGAAAGGAAAGGAAGGAAAGGAAAGGAAAGGAAAGGAAAGGAAAGGAAAGGAAAGGAAAGGAAAGGAAAGGAAAGGAAAGGAAAGGAAAGGAAAGGAAAGGAAAGGAAAGGAAAGGAAAGGAACAGATAAATGGGACTGTTTTATGTCCAGCTGATCATTGGGTGTCCTTGGATTTAATCCCAACACCAAGCCTGGTCTGTAATTCTCAGCAGAGCATTTCTGGAGCTGCAGTTGGAAGCTGGATTTAAAATCCATTCTGCACATTGCACATGAGTTCTGAGCTGTGCTTTATCTCCAAAGCTGTTCTGCCTTTTCACTGCTCTGAGTTACCCCAATTCCCCTCAGCCGAGCAGCTCCTGCCTTATGCCAAGGAATATCAAATCCACATCGGAGCTGCTTCCAGCTGTCCTGCCCAAGAGCCCAGCTCAGAACATCTCTGCCCACTCCCTGGAGAGGTTTTATCCAGGACAGAGAATTGGGAGAAGTCAGAATTCCAGACACTGTCCAGAGCCCAGCAGAGCACTCAGCAGGGCCCCAGAAAATAAACAAAAATAGGTGAAGATTTCTATTTTGTTGTTTGAAATCCTCCAGGAGTTGGGCACAAACACAACGAGTGTTTTCCCTGTTTTCTGTGCCCTTTTCCCATAAATCCACCAAGATTTAGGACTATTTGGGAGTCATCTCCCACCTTGGGATACCTGAACTCTGCCCCAGGTGTGATAAGTACAGAGAGACACAGATGATCCAAGGAAATCCCATTCCCATCCCAAAGCTCTGGATTGCTTTGGGAACTGCCAGTTGAGATTGGCTTTGAACCACAAACACTTTCCTTCAGCCAAATTTGCACCCACTTAAAAGGGGAAATTAAATCCTGAATTAAGTTATTTAAATAAGTTTTTGAGGTTGTTTTGGAGGGACAGTTGGGAAAAAAGAATTGAAGTGTGGGAAAAGAGTCCCAGAAGAAACTCCTGGCTCCAAACGATCCCAAACCTCTTACAGAGCAAAGAGCAGCCAGTGAGGATTCCTGTCAGCGCTGAGGGAAGGAAAATCAGGATTAGGAGATTTACCAAGGGCCATTAGAAGCCTTGACAGCAAATTAGTTTGGAGTTAATCACTCACTGAAGCACATCCGAAGGATTTGTGTCTCAGCAAAGTTTGTTTGGTGCCTCTGAGCTTTAAATGGCTAAGGAGGACCTGGGAGCACCACGGAGGACCTGGGAACACTGAGGAGGATCTGGAAATACCAAAGCGGACCTGGGAAACATTGAGGAGGACCTGGGAATACCAAGGAGGACTTAGGAACACCGAGGAGGATTTGGGAACACTAAGGAGGACCTGGGAACACCAAGATGGACATGGAAACACTGAGAAGGATTTGGAAACACTGAGGAGGACCTGGGAACACCAAGGAGGACTTGGGAACACCAAGGAGGACCTGGAATCATCAAGGAGGACTTGGAAACACCAAGGGGGACCTGGAAACACTGAGGAGGACCTGAGAACACCGAGGAGGACCTGGGAACACCGAGGAGGACCTGGGAACACCGAGAAGGACTTGGGAACACCGAGGAGGACTTGGGAACACAGAGGAGGACCTGGGAACACCGAGGAGGACCTGGGAACACCGAGGAGGACCTGGGAACACCAAGGAGGACTTGGGAACACCAAGGAGGACTTGGGAACACCGAGGAGGACTTGGGAACACCAAGGTGGACATGGAAACACCGAGAAGGATTTGGAAACACTGAGGAGGACCTGGGAACACCAAGGAGGACTTGGGAACACTGAGAAGGATTTGGAAACACTGAGGAGGACCTGGGAACACCAAGATGGACATGGAAACACTGAGAAGGATTTGGAAACACTGAGGAGGACCTGGGAACACCCAGAAGGATTTGGAAACACTGAGGAGGACCTGGGAACACCAAGGAGGACTTTGGAACACCAAGGAGGATTTGGAAACACCGAGGAGGAGCTGGAAACACCCAGAAGGATTTGGGAACACCGAGGAGGACTTGGGAACACCAAGGAGGACCTGGAAACATCAAAGAGGACTTGGAAACATCAAGGAGGACTTGGGAACACTGAGGAGGACCTGGGAACATCAAGGAGGACTTGGGAACACCGAGGAGGACTTGGGAACATCGAGGAGGACATGTGAGAAAAAGAACCCAACCTATGAATGAGGTTTCTTAACTTTTTGAAACATCAGAATCTTAAATTAAAAGCCCTTTCAGTCACCAAGTTTGTCAAGACAACCAAGAGGAATAAAAACTTTGGAGATCTTCCCTCTCTGTGGATTTTTCTGGTTTAAAAAGTGAGAAATTCTTCCCAGCGCTGTGGATGTTCCCTGACCTCCAGCTGATTGCCCATAAACAGACAAACAAAGCCAATCCCTGGCTAAAAAATTTGGGTTTTGGAGATCTTTGTGAACTTCTTTGGCTCCAGAACAAGACAAGGAGCAGAGCTGAGGAATGATGAGGGGTAGGATAAGACATGATCTCATCCGAACCCGGACCAAGGGGAATGGAGAAGGCCGGAAAACAATTGTCTGCCCTTATCCAGGAGAAGCAGGAATGGCGAAACTGCTGCCAAAACTCATCCTGAAGAAATAAAAGGAAGATTAAACAGCTGTCAAATCCCAGAAAAGAGCGGGATCACGGAGCAAGGAATCCCAAGGAGAACTCTGCTGCTGTGGATGGGAATAGAAGAGGAACAATAGAGGAACCTGCCAGGGGTGAGATTCCCTGTCCGAGGCCAACATGTGGCTCTGGAGAAGAGGATGATGATCCAAAAGATTCCAGGGAGATTCCGTGTGAGCCAGTCAGCCGGGACACTGCAATGCACAGCTTGGCTTGGGGAAGTGAGAGGTTCCATGGAAATACTCCATGGAGTATTGCCAGGTGTTTTCTAGGATGAGAGGAAAACAGGCACAGGTCTGGCACAAAGGAGGAGGGAAAACTAGGGAAAAACAGGGAACAGCTCTTTTGGATCTTTTCCTCTTCCTTGAAGTGAACTTGGGAAAGTTTCTTCCCCTACTTTCCAAGGTGGACAGGGCTTGGGGCAATCTGGGATAGAGGAAGGTGTCCCTGCCCATGGAATGAGATGGGCTTTAAGGTCCTTTCCAACCCAACTCATTCTGGGATGATTCCATGACAACAATTCCGTGAAAACAATTCCATGACAACAATTCCGTGACAACAATTCCATGACAATGATTCCATGACAACAATTCCATGACAACGATTCCATGACAGTGATTCCATGACAATTATTCCATGACAATTATTCCATGCTATGTTTGCTACACCCCAGCTCCAATCTGCTCTCTCCACTCCACGATCCCACGTTGGATCTGAACCAGGATGGGCACAGCCCCTGTCATTCCTGCAGGATTTGTGGAGGGTAGCAGGTGAATCCTGAACAAATGAATCCTCCCCTCCACGGTTTCTGTTTCCCGTGGCCTTTGGGGCTGTGTTTCCACAGGAAAATCCCACAGGGGAGGGAATGTTATCCCAGGGGGACTCAGACCTTTGGATGGGGACAAACTCCCTGGAAAATGTCCTGAGCCCCTGGTGATGGAGGAAGGGAAGAGGAGCCTGCTCTGGATCCAAAGGCTCTGGCTAAGCTCCAACAGGATCATTCCATTTATCCTTCCAGGGCAAATCCCACCCTGAAACTGGGGCTTCTTCTCTCTTTCCAGACATCCCAGCTTTGATTCTTCCTCACTAAAATCCAGGAGGGATGACCCTGGATCTCCAGATAATCCTGATCCATACACTCAATCAAGAGTTTGGGACCAGCCCAGGAATGATGGGAGCACACTGTGGCAAGCAGATCCTGCTGGGCCTTGGTGGCAGTTTTCCCCCCGTTTTGGGGTCAGCATTATCCCAATTTTTACATGGATGTTGCCCATGCACAAAAACATCTAGGAAAGAAAAATCTATTTATGATTTGCAATTCAAAGTATTTAAAAAAATATTTCTTCCCCCTGCACAACCCTAGTGCCTGTAATTTTTATTTTAATCCTAAATAATCCAGTGTTGATTTCATTTCAGTGAGAGCTGAGTTTTAGGAGGGAGGATATGTTTGTTTATGAATAAATTTATGGCTTTTGCTGATTCCTTGAATTTCTGAGGGATTGTCAAATGGAGTAATAAACACAAGCAAAGAGTGAGTCACTGGTTGGGGTTTTTTGTATTTTTGCTTTGTTCCAGCAGTGAAATGATAACTTAGAAATGTCTTTGAGACAGAAAATCAGGAGGGGTAAAAGAAGAGAGCAGCAAAATGGATTAAGTTTTGAAAAGTTGATATTTTGATCACTCTTATTTGGTGGGAAATGGTTACGATGAAGTTTGACTTCTTTTGATGAGGCTAAAGAAGAAAAGAACATCACAAATAAATATTGGCTGCCAAAGATTTCTGTTCAGGACAAGAATGACCGGCCTCAGGCTGTGCCAGGGAGGTTCAGGTTAGACACCAGGAGGAATTTCTCCATGGAAAAGGTGGTCAGGCCTTGGAAGGAGCTGCCAGGGAGGTTTGGAGTGCCCATCCCTGGAGGTGCCCAAGGAATTCCTGGATGTGGCACTCAGAGCTATGGTGGGCATCGGGCACAGCTCAGACTTGATGACCTCAGAGGGCTTTTCCAACCTCAGGGATTCTGGAATTCTTTGACCTGCAATAGATGGAGAGGAGCTCCAGCTCCTGTCAGAACCTCACAGTCATCACATCCCCCACCAGGTCTGAATCCAAACCTCGGACATGTCACAGGGAGGAGATTTTTCCCTGGATTCTGCCGGGCTTTGGTCAGGCCCTAATCTGAGATATTGATAAAGATGTGGGACACAAAGTCAGGATCCCACCTGCTCTTCCTGACTTCCTTCAGAGTCTGGGGAAATGAATCCTTAATTAGCCCTCAGAAGAGCAGCTGGTTGCTGCTGGTGGAGTTTTTCTCCTCATTAGGGTTCGGATTAATTGTCCAGAGAAACTGTCCAGAGAAACGGCCAGGCTGGACAGGGCTTGGAGCAACCTGGGACAGTGGGAGGTGTCCCTACCATGGCAGGGGGTGGAATGAGGTGACCTTTAAGGTCTCTTCCAACCCAAACCATCCCAGAATTCCATGACCCTGTGGACCAGGACATTCAGAGGGCAGAGCAAGGAACAATCCCAAGATTTAAGAAAGGATGGAAGCCGCTTTCCAGGAGCACCCACAAAAAGGGAGGGCTGAGTTCTCCACCCTGGGAGCTGATTTTAGCCACAATCGCCACTCTGGGATGTGCCAATTCCGTGCCCTTGGTGGTTCCCTCTCCACCTGCCCCTCTGGAAGAGCAGGAATGCCGCACATTCCGATAACCACATCCAACCCTAAAATTGTCCCGGCTCCTGCCTTGCTCCCAGGACTTGGAGAAAGGAGAGGACAATCCCTTCCTGCAACCATGAGTTGTTAACCCTCCCCGTTCCAGAGGAACATTTTGCCAAGGAGCGAGAATTCCCAAGGGAAGAAGACCATGGACCACATGACCGACGGATCGTGGGGCCTTCCCCAACTCTGTGTGTGTCACCAGGCAGATCCACAGGCAGAGAACAAACCAAACCCAACCCACGGACACCCAGGGTGGCTTGTCCCCTCCCAGGGTGGCTTGTCCCCTCCCAGGGTGGCTTGTCCCCTCCCAGGACGATGGCACTGCACCCTCCCTGCACGCCTCCTGCCTTCCCCGGGGGACGCTCCCGTCCTCTTTGGCCACCCCAACTCTCCGAGGGATCCAAGGACCACGCAGGGCTTTGCAGCCCTCCCTGGTGAGCTCCCAGCATCTCTGGTGTCCAGCAGGTCTGGAGAGCTCTGTTATCACCAGGAGAACCTGGATCACGGAATTCACGGATGGCATCACCCACTGGCCACGTCAGTGGCTCACTTATTTCCCCCCCTCCCCCCAAATAACTTAATCTGTCATTCCACGGAACAGAGGAGCTGCATGGAAACCCTTGGAATCCGCTGCATGGCCTGATGGTCTTTTCCCACTAAATGCTCTCCAGGAACCTTTTTTTCATCCTTTGGCTGAATTTTTTTTTTTTCCCCTCCTCCTGTCTTTACATCACTGTCTCTCTCTCCTCTTCCACAAGGACCGTGGGTCTGTCTCCATCGTAAAGCCCGGAGCCGTTCAGGTACTCCTCATCTTTGTTATACTGCTCCGGGCCGGAGGAAGGCATGGAATTCTCTGAAATGGAGCCATTTTTCACATAACCTGGCAAATTCCGGTGGCCGTTGAGGGTCCCTGGAATAAGTCTCGTGTTGAGGTGCAGGGCAAGCGCCCCTCTGGTGGCTACATTTGTGATGCTGGTGTGGGAAACCATTGGTCCATAACTGTAGGTTGTGCTCCCACTCCGGGCTTTCCTTTTAAAGTCAAGTGCTAAAGTCCACCTGCTCCATGACTTCTTTATTTCTGCTTGGACCTGAGGGAAAAAAAAAAAAAGGAGGGAAAAAACCCCATGAGTAGGAGAAGGAAAATGCTGGAAAAATGTGGTATCTGTTGATGGAATGGGTGGGAAGCTCTGTGGGGACTTGGAATTTCATGGCCTCACGGGTCCCTTCCAAATCAGGAGATTCTGTGATTGCATGGAATTGGAAATAACAATAAATTGACATTAAACCTGCCCTTTCCGAATGAAATATTGGACACTGGGAAGTTTGAATGGCTGAAAAGATCTGGCTGGAAAGGTGAGATAGCTCTGCCTGAGGGTTAAGGGATGGAGAGCAGCACATCCAGGAGGGAATTGCCTCAATGTCCCATGAAAATCAAGTGTCAGTGGGAAAACTACCTTGAGAGGCACCTGAATCCCGAGAAATTTCCCTAGGATGGGAATTTTAGACTGGGTCTAACGTAGGTTGCTAAATTCAGGATGAGATCAATCCCCCTTAGATTTTATCCTTGTTTTATCTGCAGAACACAAACAGTGATTTTGTAGTTTAATTTCCCCTTAAAATTCATAAATTTAGGTCATAAATTCCCTTTAAAATCTATAAATTTCATTTGATGCCAGTCTCTGGAAGTTCTGCCGTGGGGTGCAGCCACTGATCATCCACTTTCTTAATTAGCAGCAATAGAGGGAATTAATGGAAATGAGAAAATTAAAGTATATTATTCTGGAAATAGATTAAAAAAAAGTCAAAAGAGTCTGGAAAAATCCAGATTTTTTTTGTTAATCAATGACTCTATCAATCTGTTTTTCTTCCTAATTTGAAATGAAGCAGCACTTAGCAGCACTTGAGCTAGGAAATTAAAAATTCCATTTTTTTTCCTCCATTAGCTGCTTCCAGTAGCTCATTTATCAGTGCCACGTTGACCTGGTGGTTTTCCACCAGAAAAAAATGAGGATTTGAATTTTTTTATAGGGACTGAGAGACCTTGGACTGCAAAATAAAGTTGTTTTATTAAAAATAAAGAAAAAAATGAAGATGTGCTGATGTGCATCCACCTGGGAGTGGAATTAACCCAGGAAGGGAGGGAATGAAGATATTCACGACTCACCTCTCCATTGCAAAAACAGTATATGATGGCAACAAAAAATCCCTGGAACGAGGAAGAAACAACAAATTAATGGGAATTTAGGGAAATTTGGGTCTCTTTCCTGCCCAGCACCCCCAGGCTTCTCTGAGATTGGGGACATTCAGAACCTGCTGTGGAAATGTGGGATTTTTCAGTGGGGCAGGAGAGGGGAACAGAGAAAATTCCCTGTGGATGGAGCTCCTGGTGGACAAGGAGCCAGCAGAGGCCAAGAGGGGACAAAAGGCCAACGGGATCCTGGGGTGCATTGGGAAGAACATTTTTTTGCTGGATAGATTTCCCATTTTCTTGTTGCATTTTGCAAGTAGAAAACATATTTGAGGCTAAAATGTTTTCAAATCCCCTCATGAATTAATTCTAGTGGACTGTAAACCCAGCCCTGCTCCCAAAGGCAGCCGCGCACCCACATTCCCCTCCTCTCCCCATTGGAATTCCCAAGTTTTCCCGGAGTTCCAGTACCTGGAAAGAGTTGAACAGCATTTCATAGTGCATTTGAACTTGCCAAAGAATCCCTGACACGTCTGTGTATGGCATAGCCATGAAAACAATATAGTGAACGCCAAACAGAGGCATAAGGACGAGGGTAGATTTCAGCAGCTTCCTGCAGGAAAAAAAAGGGGGAAAAGGGGGGAAAAAAGGGGGAAAAAGAGGGGAAAAAGGGGAAAAAAGAGGGGGGAAAGAAATGAGGGGGGAAAGAAATGAGGGGGGAAAAGAAAAGAGGGGGGAAAGAAAAGAGGGGGGGAAGAAAAGAGGGGGGAAGAAAAGAGGGGAAAGAACAGGGGGAAAGAAAAGAGGGGGAAAGAAAAGAGAGGGGAAAAAGAGGGGGAAAAAAGAGGGGGAAAAAAGAGGGGGAAAAAAGAGGGGGAAAAAAGAGGGGGAAAAAAGAGGGGGAAAAAAGAGGGGGAAAAAAGAGGGGGAAAAAAGAGGGGGAAAAAAGAGGGGGAAAAAAGAGGGGGAAAAGAGGGCAGGGAAAAAAAGAGGAAAAAAAAGAGGGAAAAAAATGAGGGGGGGAAAAAAGAGGGAAAAAAATACAGGGCAAAAAAAAAAAAAAAAAGAGGGAAAAAAAGAAGAGGGGGAAAAGAGGGGGAAAAGGGAATTAGTGCATGGATAAACCTCCCCTTCATCCCCAGCCCAGCCAGGTTTGTCGCTGGGCACATGTTGCTTGTGGTTTTCTCCCTGTCCCCTTGGATATGGGAGGCTTACACAGGTGCTGTGGAATTCCACCTGGAATTCCAAGCGGTTGGTTCATGCTCCAGCATGTGCCAGTCCAACCCTCAACTTGTCCCTGTGTGACGCTGGAGGTGACATCACTGAGGTGGCTTTTCCAGCCTCTGACCAACCCCAGGTTTGGGTCAGGATCATGAGGGGAAGGTGGAAAGAAGGAAAGGAGTTTGTGCTGCAATTCCAGCCCTCAGGCTCCAACAAAAACCCACCAAATCCACTTATCCCTAAAGGATGGCTCTCCATCTTCCCGTGGTCCTACACGACCTGCAGTGGCTGCCACTGCTTGAGCAGGAGGGTGGAGAACTGACTTCCAGAGGTCTTTTCCAACCTCAACCACTCCCTTGAGGCAAGACAGGAAAATCCACCCTGGGTCAGTGGCTCCTGTGCAATGAGCAGATCTGGAGGACAGGGAGGTGAGTTGGGAGTGGAATTACTCCAGATATCCAGGGGAAGAGGACAGAGCAGAGGTGAACGCTCCTAGGAGGTGCTTTGAGCTTCCTTTTGTCAGGAAGCAGCTCCACCTCAGCACAGATCAGTGCTGGGGACTCCACGGAGGCACCAAAACCTGGAGTATTTGGCTGGGCTGGCCCTGGAGGGAGTCAGCTTTGCCTGGAAGTGACATTAATTGAGGGATTAGACCTCGTGCCAAGGGTTCCAGCAAGTCCCCGGGTGCAGCAGGGATCGGGAAGGGCAGGAATCGCTCCCAGAAAGCCCCGGCACCGCCTCTGTCCAGCGCCTGCAAACCACCCAGGGAATTTAACACTTTAAAAGGAGCAGGCCGCATCCAAACCATAATTAATGGCAAAGCTTCAGCCAGGGAGAAGTAAATAAATGGATAAATCAGAGCCCTGACAGGGCAGCGAGGAGAACTGGGAGGTGTTTTCCTGCCAAATCTCCCTCCTGCCTCAAATGTGTGTTTGGAGAGGGGGGTGGGAGCAATGAGCTCATGGCTTACATCCCAAACCATTCTGCTCTCCCCCCTTCCCAAGTGTCTTGTTGGGCAGTCCAGGAGATCCCGAAAAGCCTTGGGAGCTCTCAAGCAGCCGTGGTGTCCCAGCAATCTGATTTTTCCATCCAATTTTTGACCATGCTACAAATAACTTGAATTATCAAGGGAAACGAGCTGGCAGAACAAAGGAAAACCAAACAAAAAACGAAATGAAATTGGAATCTTTTTTTCAGTTCAGCCAAGGCACCGAAACACCCGCTCAAGGGCAGGTTTAACCAATAGGCCAAGCTTAACAAAGCACAGGAGGAAAATAAAAATAAGCAAATAAACTGATACAAGTTTTACAGCCTTCAACAGCCCAATGTTTTATTTTTGCACTTTGGGTTCAAAAACTGGCTGAAGAGCTGGAATTCCTCCCTAACTTCCAGCAGGCTGGATTTGAAAGGTTTAGGAGAGTTTTTAAATTGTTCTGGTTCATTCTGCATTACCACACTTGGAAGACGACAAACTTTTCAAGTTATTTTAGGCGGCACCAGTGTCACCCTGGGCTTTGTCCACAGCCAGGGGGGTGAACAGGGACTTTGCCCTATGCCAGAAGGGGGACAGGACAGGTGACACTCACCTGTACTGTTGTCTCGAGTCGCACCTCCCTGCATTCGTCTCTCGGAGCTTGGTTGCGAGGACTCTGATAATATTGATAAAGAGAATAAAATTTACCTGCAAACAACAAAGAAATGAGAACTGTTAAATAAGAAAATTGATTAAAATGGTGGAGTTGTTCAGTTGGTGTTTCCCCCAGAGGAGGCAGTGCTAAGACTGGGATGGAAGCTCCTCCTGTGGAAGGGATGAGCATTCCAGGGATGATCCTGGGGTTTTTAACTTTCACGGAGAATACGGAATGGCTCACAAGGTGGGGATATCTCACATGGAAACATCTGAGCCAGCCAGCCCAGCAGGCACCTGGAGAAGGCCAAAATGGGGTTTTATTTGTCTTTACAGCCCAGCTGGGATGAAGATCCACTCGGGATACCAGGAGCACTGGTAGGATGTCTTCCCAGATTTCCATGTGCAAAAGGAAAGAGGAACAAGCCCAAGGCACCATGGTGAAGATACAGAGTGGACCTAACTGGAGATGACAGCTGAAGAATGCAGAAGGGTAATGGAAACTGTTGGATTTCTCCCATATTCCCACTTCCTCTGGGAGGTGTTTAGGATGGAACAGACAAGGACAGTCAGGGAATATCATCTACTGCCTTTCAGGGAGACACATTTGTGAACCCAACTCGTGGCCAGCTGCTCAAGATAATTCCGGTGGTGCTTGAGCACCTTGGAACAGGCTGCCCCAGGAAGAAGCGGAATTCCCATCCCGGGAAGTGGTGGAATCCCCATCCCGGGAAGTGGTGGAATCCCCATCCCAGGAAGTGGTGGAATCCCCGTTCCGGGAAGTGGTGGAATCCCCATCCCGGGAAGTGGTGGAATCCCTGTCCCGGGAAGTGGTGGAATCCCCGTCCCGGGAAGTGGTGGAATCCCGTGTGGATGTGACACTTGTGGACCAGGGTTAGTGGTGACCATGGTGGTGCTGAGGGAATGGTTGGACTTGATCTGGGAGAACATTTCCAACCTTCATGACTCCTACAGGAACATGCTGAGGAATATTAAATGGCAACCCTCATGGAGAGGAAAGGTGGGTTGGCACTGGGGAGATTCCCGTCTTTGTAGAGCTCTTCAGAGCTTGGCTTCCCTGGATTCCACCAGCTGCTGGCCCAGCCAAACCCATCCATGGGATTATGGAGAGGGTACAGGCAGGACCGTCCTGTAACTGCACTGAGCAAATCCGTGTTGTTGGATAACACCTACGGATTCCTCTGGAGCCTTCAGCATTTCAAGATATGGAATTACCACACCACACAGTGGCTCGGAGTTTTAGGGAGGGACCATTGTGAACCTCAAGCTGGATGGTCCAGGAGAGCTCCTTCGATTCCTTTTGGTTGGAGCCAGAGCAGATCCATGTTCTAGCATTTCCATGGGACAGATTTCTCCACTGCAACCATTGAAGAGTCGTTCCCATGGTCATTTATCCTTCTGGGAAAACCAGGAATTCCCTGAGCTGCTGAGCCAACAGGGGCTGGTTTGCCATGTCTTTGTCTCCTGTGGTTGGATTCCTCCTCCTCTGAGGACGTGCAAGCTCGTTTGGAACTCTTTTCCATAAAAAAAAGCAGGGAAGGTTGTGCCACATCCTTTCTGTCACTGGGATATGAGTGAAAATTCTCTCCCATATCCATTTCCCTGTTCTCACAAGGTTTGTGGGAATTTTACATCCCTGCAACCCCATTCCCTCAGTTCCATTTGGCTAAAATTTTCTGACTGACACAGGAATTATAAGGGAGGAATGGATAGACCAACAGGCAGGGAAGGACAGAGCTTGGGGGCATTAAATTCCTTGCAAACCATCTGAAAGGGAAAAACCAAGCAGGATTTATGTCTCTAAAAGAGCTTTTCCAGCTTTAAAGTCTCCAAAGTGGGATCTTGTTTTGCATTTGTCAGCAAAATTAAGGACGCCCAGCCTTATCACATCCAGGAGGGAAACTCCTCTGATCCCCCTAAACGTGCTAAATTTGAAAAGAAATCCAGCCAAAGGAATCACATCCAAATTAGCAGAAAGTGGAGAGATTTTAAACCCCTCAGCCTCCAAAATCCCAAACAGAAAATGCAGGACTTAGTCCAGCATCGTGGGAATGGCAGAAGCAGCCAAATGAACAATACGAAACCACAGAAATTAAACAGATACGACCAACGGAATATTTTTGCATAATAAACAGCTGCATTTGCAAAGTGCCAGGGCACAGCTTCCTGGAGAAACCTTATTTTTCCAAGGATGAGCCTCAATTGGGCTCTTTATCCTCTGCTAATTGGCCTGTAAATTAAATGCGATGGGTCGCTGGAATTAATTTAATTGAACCATCTGAACTTTCTTCTCTAGCCTCTGCTGTTCCATTTCCAAAGATGTGGTCTCGGTGATGTGTTTCTTCCAAGGAATTGCTGGAGCCAGGTGGAGAAATTTCCACCAAAAGCATGAAGCCCAGCCCCACCCCCAAACCCCAAAAATCTCACCTAATGGCACAGATGAGCACATCCACCTCAGAAAATTTCCTGCTCTCTGTGTGTCTGGTGTTCTTCTCACCCACACTGAGCATCTTCCAAGGCCTCCTGATTTGGGAGGCAGGAGGAAGGGACTGATTCCAAAGCTTCTGGACTGTGGAGATTCCCACTGGTTCCACTCGTGGATGAGTGGTAAGGGAGATGGGATTGAGGGGAGTGCATGAGATCTTTTACATGGATTCCATCAGGAGACTGAGCAATGGAGAACCCCAAATGAAGAGAGGGGGGGAAGAGGGTAATTAATTAATTAATTAGGACATAATTGAATTCACCATGTGCAGATAATTAACTCTTATAACGCCCTCTCCAGCTTTGGAGAGCTCCTCCTGTGTCGGGATAATATCACTTGGATCCTTCATTTCCCCCCTGGCTCTTGGGTGGGGGGTTGGAATATTTCACCCTCAGTGACTAAAGACCCAATCAAAGCTGGGATGGTTTAATTTCCCTTCTCACCTCAGGCTTCCCAAGCTTTTACCAGTTCAGGAATAATGGAATGACCCTGAAACACACCTGGGAAAAGCTTTGGTCAAGCTACAGACACCAAATTCCATCTCTTCCATCTGGAGATGCCTGGTAAGAGTGTGTCATGGCCCCTGAGAATTTCCAAGATCATCTGGGTTGGAAATATCGCCTTGGGTGTTGTTTTCATTGGTGATTTTAGGGTCTTAACACTGAAAATGTGGGATTTTTCTCTCCTTGAGGTCACTCACAAACCCTTCTGCCATATTCAGCTGCCAAAATTCCAGGCAGAACCCCTCAAAGTGGAGATGTAGGGACTATGACAAGGCAGGATTTTTGACAGCAGGGTGATTAGAGCAGGAAATCCTGGATCAGCTCTTCCCAAGGACCCAAAGGTCTCCCAGCCTCTCACTCATCCTATACTCACCACGATAGCTGCCAGGATGGGCACCTGAATAATCCACTTTAAATTGCCAGCACTCAAGTCCCAACACCTGAGGAGAGATGGACATCCTGTCAGGAAATGATCGGAAAAGCAATTGACTCAAGAGTTCCATTGGAAAAATCCCCCTGGAAGGATGAATTCCTCCAAAGCCTGGTGGAAGGACCTTGCTCTAACCCTGCCTGCACCCAGTGAGACTTTGGAATATCCCTTTTCCTGGTGTAAAGCTACTAAAAAATGAGAATATTCCTATGGTTGGGATGGTTCTGTTCTCCAGGGGGTGAAGCTCTTTCCAGCTCTTTCCACACCCATCCAGACTTGTCCCTTCTGGCCAGGAATGGATCCTTTTCCACTTCTTCACTTCCTCACCAGAAAAATATCCCAACATTAAAAGTAATCCAGGTTTTATGAACACAGGAGAGGCTGAACTGATGTGGGATCACAGAATCCTGGAATTGGTTGGGTTGGAAGGGACCTTAAAGATGATTTAATTCCAAATCCCTGTCATGGGAAAGAGGTTGCTCCAAGCCCCTTCCAACCTGGCCTTGGACATTTCCAAGGATGAGGCAGCCACAGCTTCTCTGGGTGACCTTTGCCAGGGCTTCCCCACGCTCACAGGGAACAATTTTTCCCATTATCCCATCCATCCCTGCCCTCTGGCAGTGGGAAGCCATTCCCTGTGTCCCATCCCTCCAGTTCCTGATGGATAATCCCTTCAGTTTCCCTGTAGGCCTCTTGAATCCTGGATATGTCCCTGCTCATCGCAGGGGGTTGGATTAGATGACCTTTAAAGGTCTTTTCCAACCCAACCATTCCATGATTCCCCCTCGGAATAAACCTGCACAACTTCCCACGGGGACAGGTGGTGATGGGGACAATGCTGAGGTTCCACACTTGCTTCCCGGGTTTTCTTCAACCCTGCCCTTGTGGCCAAAATCCCCCAAAATCCTTTATCTCCATCCACCTCCAGTCCTCATCCCAGTGAGGACTGGGAGGGCCAGTTGGTGACGTGGATGTTGAAATGTTGGGATGTTGGGATCCAATCCTCCACCTGCCAAGAAGGGACAGGCTCTATTTGCTCCCAGGAGACTCCGGCAGCCATTGGAAAAGCCGACTCGGTGTTAATTATCCTGTTGGAATTCCCTCCAGCTCTGGAGACAGGAATGCCACAGTTTTTTCCTTATCTGATCCTGGTCACCCCCACACAGCAGCTGCAGTTTTGCCAGGCCAGCTCCTCAGGGGAAGAGAGGCTGGAAAGCCGCCAGTGCTCCCTGGAAGCCCTGAGAGGATGAGCTCTGCTCTGCTCTGCTCTGCTGACCCACCCACCCAAACCTGGAGCTCAAATCCCCTTTGGAAAGCAGTGTCTTCCCATGAAAAGCAGTTTGGGAATGCCTGGGGACCCTCAGATGGAGCACTTTGGGAAAATGGAAGTGCTTGAGTGGTCAAACCTGCGGGTTTTGGGGGAACAGCCAGGTTGGACAGGGCTTGGAGCAATCTGGGACAGTGGAAGGAGTCCCTGACCATGGCAGGGGGTGGAATGGGATGGGCTTTAAAGTCTCTTTCAACCCAAACCATCCTGGGATTGTGAAATCCATGGAGGAGTTGCAGTTCTACCACTCCACCATGACCAAACCCCCCTGACTGTGCTGCAGCTGCTGTGTCCCAAATTCATTCCTGCTCGTTCAGGATTTTAAGGATCTCTGTCTTGTCCCTGCCCAGCTGTGACACAGTCCCTTTATCCCCTGGGATAACAACGGCAGGTATTCCCAGTCATTGGATCCTGCAAAATGAAAGGAAAAACTATCCTTCCCTTCCATCCACCACCCTCCTCCAAAAGTTAATGACACCAGAGTAGAATTCCAGCTTTTTCCTTTTGGATTCACCCCTAAATCCCACAAGAATTTGCAAGTAAGAGGGAGAGAAGGAAACCCAGTGGGACTTACTCTGTGTCGGCCAGAGTGGCTCTGACGCTGGCCCACACTGTGACAAACACAGCAGGGAGTCCTGCAAAAGAACACAGGCGACACGAGGTCAGTGGGGACCCAGGGCTCTGGCACCGAAATTCCAGGTGGAATGGGTTAGGGGAAGGTGGAAGGAGCAGCTTTTAATTATTCAGGCATAATTGAGAATGGAAAAGCTGAGCTTTCACATCTGAGATCTGAACTGGTTCAGTTTGGGGTGCCCACAATGAAGACATTGAGGAGCTGGAGGGTGTCCAGGGAAGGAAAAGGAGTTGGGAAGGGTCTGGAAAACTCCTGAGGGAGCTGGAAAGGGGCTCAGCCTGGAGAAAAGGAGGCTCAGGGGGGACCTTGTGGCTCTGCACAGCTCCTGACAGGAGGGGACAGCCGGGGGGTTGGGTTCTGCTCCAGGGAACAGGGACAGGAGGAGAGAACGGCCTCAGGCTGGGCCAGGGCAGGTCAGGGTGGGTTTTGGGAAAATGCTTTCCCAAAAGGAGCTGTTACACACTCGGACTGCCCAGGGCAGCAGGGGGTCCACATCCCTTGAGGGATTTAAATCCCTGTGGATGTGGCACTTGGGGACATGGTCAGAGGTGGCCTTGGTGGTGCTGGGAATGGTTGGAACTGGATGATCTCCGAGGCCTGAGAGTGCTGGAACCTGAGAGACTGAAACCAGCTTTGGCCAGCTCATCCCATGGGAAGCAGAGGACTCTGCTCTGGAGTCAGGCTGGGAGAGCTGGGAATGTTCCCCTGGAGAGGAGAAAATTCCAGGGAGAGCTCAGAGCCCCTTCCAGGGCCTGAAGGGGCTCCAGGAGAGCTGGAGAGGGACTGGGGACAAGGGATGGAGGGACAGGACACAGGGAATGGCTCCCACTGCCAGAGGGCAGGGATGGATGGGAGATTGGGAATTGGGAATTTCTGGTTGGGAGGGATGGTAATGGAATTCCCAGAGCAGCTGTGGCTGCCCCTGGATCCCTGGAATTGTCCAAGGCCAGGTTGGACACTGGGGCTTGGAGCCCCCTGGGACAATGGGAGGTGTCCCTGCCCATGGTAGAAGGTGGAATGGGATGATCCTCAAGACCCCTTTCAACCGAAGCTATTCCATGATTCCAATTGTTTTTTGCAGCAATCCTTCTCTAAGATATTTCCTCCCTTCCTTCCCATCAAGGAAAGGTAGGGCAGGAGTCAGGCTCCGGCAGTTTCTCCCAGAAAATCCCTGGATAGATTTGAAGCTCCTTTAAATATGAGAGAGCTGCTGCACAAAGCAGAGAAATGCTAAAATTTAGGATTATGTTCCAAAATATCCAGCCAAAGGTTCATTCCCAAAGGAACCATCCTGATTGCAGCACAGCTACCCCAGGCCATCATCTTTTCCCTACGAAACGTGGAAAACAAATTCCCCAATATCCAAAAGCAACCTTGTATTTATTTTTTTTAGGGTCCAGTTATTTGTACAACTGAGTCCCCTACTGGCTTCCCTTAAAAAGCAGGATCGAATCCACAGTAGCTTCCACAAATTTGGGAAGAATGACCCCTTTCAGGTGGAAAAAAAATTATTAAAAAATAAATAAAGGCGACATTTATCAGCGGGGACTGTGAAGAGGCTGTTCCCAGTCTAAGCTCACTGGGGCTCGGGGATAAGCCCAGGCTTAACTTTCAGCATGCACTTAAGTCTCATTAGGGTGCTTAAAGGTTTTCCTGACCACGGGGTGTGGAGCAGGGACGGCTGTGTCCCAAACCCGGGGACAACAGGGCCCTTATCCAGGCTGGGAGCTGGGAATGCCGAGGTAATATAAGAAAGCATAAATAATTAAACACAGAGCCTCACTCAGGCCCAGCGCTCCTACAAAGCCACATTTGTAAGGAATTCATCCCGCTCCACAATTCCCTGTGCTGCGGGCACTGGGAAGAAAATCCTTGACCTGTTGCACCGGGAACTTGGAGCGAGGGAAGTGAGGGCTCGGGGAAGGTGACAGGCACCAGCTCTTTCCTCCTCCCTGCCATCCACCTATCCATGGAAAGTAGGGCAGGCTCTGGAAAATCCTCCATGATTTAAACGGATTGGGTTTTTTGGCGCTCTTTCAGTTTATGTCCACTGAGGAACTGCCATGTCCATGAAATACTGGGATATTCCCACTGCAGCAAAGCTCTAAGTCTGAAGGATGGATTTTTTTTTTGAGATTTGGATATATTTGACAGGAATTTGTTCCTCTCCTGTTTGTCCTGAGGTTCAGAAGAGACAGAATTCCCGTTCTTACAAATCCTGTAAATTGGGACTTTGAGCTCCCAAGCAACAATCAAATACCCGGGGGAAAAGAGCTATCCCTAAAAATCCCAACATGTGCATGGATGGATGATGGATGGATGGAGGGATGGATGGAGGGATGGATGGATGGATGGATGGATGGATAGATGGTGGATGGATGGATGGATGATGGATGAATGGATGGATGGATGGATGATGGATGGATGGATGATGGATGGATGATGGATGCATGATGCATGGATGGATGATGGATAGATGGAGGGATGGATGATGGATGGATGGATGGATGGATGGATGGATGGATGGATGGATGGATGGATGGATGGATGGATGATGGATGACAGATGCATGATGGATGAATAATGGATGGATGGATGGATGAGGGATGGATGATGGATGGATGGATGGATGGATGGATGATGGATGAATGGAGGGATGGATGGATGGATAGATGGATGGATGCATGGATGGATGGATGGATACATGGATGCACGGATACATGGATGCACGGATATATGGATGCATGGATGGATGGATGGATGAATGCATGATGGATGGATGGATGGATGCATGGATGCATGGATGGATGGATGGATACATAGATGCACGGATACATGGATGCATGGATGGATGGATGGATGAATGGATGGATGGATGGATGATGGATGAATGGAGGGATGGATGGATGGATGGATGGATGGATGATGGATGAATGGATGGATGGATGGATGGATGGATGGATGCATGGATGGATGGATACATGGATGCATGGATACATGGATGCATGGATGGATGGATGGATGAATGCATGATGGATGGATGCACGGATACATGGATGCATGGATGGATGGATGGATACATGGATGCACGGATACATGGATGCATGGATGGATGGATGGATACATGGATGCACGGATACATGGATGTACGGATACATGGATGCATGGATGGATGGATGGATGAATGCATGGATGGATGTCCTTCCTGACTCCAGCCCAGCCCCGCCGTGCCGTGAGCGACTTGTACAGAATCCACATTGTATGCGCTGTGCATTTCCAGCCACACACACAGTGTGTACAATGCAGGTGCTATAAAGTCAGGAATCTCCCCAGCAGCTGGAAAATGGGAAAGATTTGCTGGCCAACCCACCCTTTCAAGAGCTTTTCCTGTGTCCATGTCTCCCAGCAGCTGGAAAATGGGTTTCATGCGTGTGGAATTTGGGAGTGACTGCTGGAAGGGAGTTTAGGAATAAAGCCCTTGTGTAGGTCTGAGAATTCTGGTCTCAATTCCCTGGGATTTAAAAGCTTCTCTGAGGAACAATGCCTGTGTTTTATGAGTCCCTCTGTGACCCTTTTTCCTGATGTTTAATGGGAATAACAATAATACTTTTAAGGCCTCTAGTCCTGCTTGGTACAAATTTTTCAGGGAAGGATTATTCCTGCTTGGATAAACACACAGGGATCATCATCATGGATTTTTGGGGCACCACCCATCATCCTTTTAACTTTTCCAGGTGTCCCTGCAATCCCCAGTTTGCCGAAATCCAGGGCAGCCCAGCCGTGCGTGTGGGAATTAACGCGGTGTGAAGGAAAAACGCCAATGGAATCAGCTTGGATTTCCTGGCTATTGGTCATGGTACCTAAACTTCCCTCAAAAAACAGCTGCAGGGAGCTGGGAGTCTCCCAGGGGATTTATTGTTGCCCATACTGTAAATATTTATTTATTTTGGGTGGGTGCTGGCATGGAGCGAGTTCCTTTCCGTCAGCAGGGTCTCCCTTGGAAAAAGGGAGTGGAGGACTTTGATGGAGCTTGTGCCAGTGAGGATGTGGATTGAGAATACTGGACAGAAATCCATGGAGATGACATCAAAGAATTGCTCTTTGTCCTGCTTTTCCCAGAAATAAGATATTGTAGGGTGATTTTCGCTCCCTGTTTCCACCTTGGAGTTTCCCAGGCAGGACAAATTCAATGCTGATTATTGCCAGAATATTCCAGTTTTGGAGGGGCAAATCTATCTTTTCAGTGGAATAATTATTTATCCCTGATTCCCTGCCACTCATTGCTGCGGTGTGGGCAGGATCCAGTGCCCGCTGCAGGGAACTGGAATTTTTCCACTGTCTCCAGTGGCTCCTGGATTGGTTTGCCCTTTCCAGTGCCCAAAAATTATCCAAACAATCCGCCTGAGCGGGTGTCTGTGTGGACATTATCATCCCAATCCAAACAAAGCAATCCCAACTGCCACCGGGAGGGATCGTGTGTTCTCATTCCAGAGGAATTTCCACGGGGCAGCCTCAGGCTCCTGGAAGCCCAGGGATGCTGGCTGTTGTGACAGGTGTGACTCCAGCCCTGTGGTCGCTCCGATAAAATGATTATTCCCTGGCAGAACTTGGGAGGGCTAACGAGAGCAATCCCTGCCTGTCCCAAATTTTTCCTTTGGTTTTGCTCGTTAAACACATGGCATTATTTTCCAGCTGCTTCCCACTCCTCCCAAATTCCCGCTGGGAAATTGCTCCTTTATGTCTGCTCTTTGCCGTTTAATGTTATTTTTTGAGAGGGAACTTTTACACAGCCTGAAGGTTTGGAGGAAGATGAGTTTATTTCTCTTTTCTAATTTAATTTAGTTTGGGTTTTGTTCATTTGCTTTAGAAAATAGGTGCCATCCAAAGCCCTCTCCATCCCTCAGCAGCTGAGATAAGAAATGCCAAATCCCCAGAATAGAATCCCAGAACCATCTGGGTAACGAGGGAGCTTAAATCCCATCTCATTCCACCCCCTGCCAAGGGCAGGGACAACTTCCACTGCCCCAGGTTGCTCCAAACCCCATCAAATATCTCTTAGTTCGTTGATTTTCCCAAAATTTTTCCGGCTGTCCAGGACTAGGCTTTTCCTGAGAGATGGATTCCCACTTTGGAATATTTCTATATTTACACTTTCCATCGTTATCATCTGTCAGCACCATCAGTTTCTGACCCATGGAGCAGCTGAACAGGAGGTTTGGAAGCAGCTCGAAGCAGCTCCTTCCCCATATCCTATTTGGGAAGGAGAAAGGCTGGAGAGAGCCCTGCCCCGGAGTATTGAATCCCAAAAATCTGCAATCCTTCATAAACTCAGTTCTGTGTGCCCTGCCTGTTCTGAGCCCCACCCTTAGAGACAGCCACCAACTTTTTTCCATAAAAAATCTCATTCTGGAATCGTGTGGGGATGGTGCACACCTGAACCTTGTCCTAAAATGCAGTCAGGAGGTGGCCAGGTGGATTTGGAATATGGAATTTGAGAAGTGGTGCTGTGCCAGGTAACCACAGCCCCCCAGGTTTTCCTGATGTAATTCCCGTATAATCCTGCACCCCATTATCCTTCCATACATCCTCAAGGATCATCGGAAACATTCCCTGTTCTCCTCCCAACCTCCAGACTCTGAGACAACTGTGGGCAGTTGTTTTATTGTCCCAGCACCTCGTAACTCCTGGGAAGCTAAAATTAAAGCCAGGAGTGAACAGAAATCCCATTCTCCTCTGAAATGTGCGTGCCCAAAATGTCTTCTCCTAATGAGCCCCTTCCCTGCACCCACATCCCGCCCCTTTCTCGTTACTCAGGGAAAAGATGCCCAAGTTGAAAGAAAAGGAAAATAAAAAACTCTTCCCCACAAATTGCAGGTTTCTAGTGGTGTTCCAAGGCTCAGTAGACCTCAAGGATTTGAACCAGCTGAGGTTTACAGGAGGAAATCAGAGCCTGGGGCTCTCATTGGGAGCAGATGCTCAAAACCTCCCACAGATTTCTTCCCCTCCAGCTCAGCACTGGCTTCCCAGCAGGAGATCCTGGGAAGAGGTGAGGATAAATCCCTGAAATTGGCTGTCTCATCCCAAATTTAGCCCTCGCATTTCCTGCCCTGGAAGGGTGGCAAAATATGAAGGTGGTGAGGCACCACCAGCACCAGTGGGTGCCCCTGTGTCCCTGGAATGTCCAAGGCCAGGTTGGACAGGGCTTGGAGCAGCCTGGGACAGTGGAAGGGGTGGGCCTGGGTGGGATTTGAGGTCCCTCCCAACCCAAACCCATCCTGGGATTCCCTGGCTCTTTGTGCTTCCTCTCCAAGCCTGGGCTGATCCTTCTGGAGACCCTGGAAGAGCCACAATTCCACCACAATTCCACAATGATAACACCACAATTCCAGAATGATAACACCACAATTCCGGAATGATAGAGGCTTCCCAGTGCTGGAATTTGAAATATAAGGAATTCTTAGAATTTTGAATTTGTAAATTAAAGTTTAGAAAACAAAGGATTTGATTTAAGACTTTAGAAAAAGATTTTAAACTTGGGTCTTGAAAATAAAAATATATAGTTTAAAGTAAAGAGTAAAGACATGTTAAACTAAGTACAAGAAAGTTTAGAGTTTTAGAGATACAGAAAAAAATAAAAGTAGTTATGTAAGTGAACAAAAAACCAGATTATAGTATTATAAGTTTGTGTATTATAGTATAATTAAGAAAGTTTATATTGTAATATAAGTTTATAAGACAAAATATTTAAAGATTAGGTTATTTTTAAAAAATTATTATTAGTGTTTTATCAATCAATACCTCCTTAAAAAGTCTTATAATTAAAGGTCTTCTGATTTTTTAAAAAAACAACTCAAAAGTCCCATCTCTAACTTATTCAAAACTCCCCACAAAAAAAAAAATTATCATTTCCCAGGATGGAAATCCTGTCCTTGCAAGAGTCCCCTGATGCTCATCCTGCCTCCATCCCCTCTCCCACATTTCTGTACATCCCCAGTTTCTTTCAGGAACCACCTCCAAGAGCAGGAGCAGCCATGACTTACCCCAGCCAAATAATGTGAATCCCCAGAGATATTTCTTCTCTGAGAAAAATGCCATGAAGATGAGGCTGTGGAGATAGAGCCCTTCCACCAGGATCCAGTAGTAATTGGTAGCCAGGAAGTAGAGGAAGAAGGTGACAGCTACTTTACAGCCCACCTGCAGCGACCACAGAAGGACAGAGAAGGAACAAGGGGTGAAATTCTTGTGCTGCGCAAATACATTGAGGTGGGGCGGGAAACAAGTTGGAGAGAGGAAATAAATCAGAAAAATCTGTTTCAGGGTTTTTTATGAGGAGGAAAATCTGCGGAAGAGCAGGAAAGATGGACTGTTGGGAAAAAACTCCTGAGCCAAAGGTGATTTTTCCTACAGCAGGTGAGTTGGGAAGTAGAGAAAAAGAGATGGTGGCCTGATCCTGCGCTCTTCCAACCCGGTGATGAGGGGCTCACACACTTCCTAGAGCAGTTGGGGTTCATCTTTTCCCTGTGTTTCATCTTTTCCCTGTGTTCCATCTCTTCCCTGCCTTTCATTTTTTCCCTGTGTTCCTTGTCCATGTTGGAGGCCAAAGGGCCTTGGCCAAGTTGTCCCGGTCCCGGTCCTGCTGAAGTCACAGCTCTTGGAATTACAACTCCTTCCTCAGCTCACGGAGTGACCAAGGTGAGATGAAGTCACCCCATCTTGTCAGGGATGTCCACCGGATCCTCCAGGGTTGTTTGTCTGTCCCCAACAACAGGGAATGGCTGCAGACGGCTCCTGCTGCCTTTGGAGCCAGGCATTCCAAGAGCAAATGGGACCTGGAGGTTTTTCCCTGGAAATCCCAAGGTGTCCCACCTGAGCTGCATGGTGGGACATCTGGGAGAGACTTCCAGGACATCCTGATGTTAAAGCTGAGCTCTCGCTCCATGCTGAGCTGAAATCCTTTAATTTTTTGGGAGCGAAACCCTGACTGTGGCCCAACACTCTGTTTGGGCAAAGCCATCCTTCTTCCCAACTTCTCAGCTCCAGTACAGACAGGCTGCAAAATGTTGGTGCCACTTTGGGATTAACCAGCACAAAGCCAGTTCTCGTCAATGTGGATTTCCTTGGAGTCTGGGAAGTTGGATTCCCAGGAATTCTGTGGTTGCCACATCCCTTGGCCCATTTTTGTACTGTCCCTTCCTTTAAAAGGAATACAAAGGACTGACAGAAAATGCCAATATGATACCTTGGAAATAAAAAGAGATTTCTTTTTTTATCCTGGCACAGCTCTTTTGCTAATTTTTTGTCCATCGATATACATATCTAGACATATATTTGCATAATGATAAGATATACATACATGACACTAATTTTCTTTCATAGACAGAGGGAGTTAAAATAGATTAATTAAACCCCCCCTAAATTAATTGGTATTTTTTATATTTATAAAAAATTCCCATCTAGGTTTGATAATATTTTCTGTATTTATTTTTTAAATTTATTGCCTCATGCAGGGAATGTGAGTCACTAATTGCAAGGTTCACGCTTCATTTGGAAACAAAAGAAATCCATTGTTGCCTTCATTACTTGTTTGCCTTGCAATTCCAAAGAGTAGGAAATGCCATTAAGTGCTAATATCCAAAGAATGCCATAGATTATCCTAATTATTTCTTATAATGAGCCTGGCAAGAGGAGAAACTCCAAACAATGCAGTGAAACATTTTGTGTTCTTTCCTAAAAAATTAGAGTTTGGGAGCATGTTGAGTGAGGCTCTGTAAATTCTCTGGGATGGGAAAGGAACACCATGACAAAGCTCCAGTTGGGACACTTGGATGCACAGTGGGACATTCCCAAACCCTCTGATTTTTCACAGGGTGTTGCTGGTCCTTGGTTGTAACACAAACTGGGAAAGACTTGAGAAGTCAAGTAAATCCATAGGCAGGAAGTTTATCCCAGAATCCTTGAGGCTGGAAAAGACCTCCAAGACCATTGAGTCCCAGAATCCTTGAGGCTGGAAAAGACCTCCAAGACCAACAAGTCCCAAAATCCTTGAGGCTGGAAAAGACCTCCAAGACCATTGAGTCCCAAAATCCTTGAGGCTGGAAAAGACCTCCAAGACCATCGAGTCCGTGCTGTGCGTGATCCCCACCAGAGCACCAAGTACTACATCCAGGAATTCCTTGGACACCTCCAGAGGTGGGGACTCCAGACCTCCCTGGGCATTTCCAAGGCCTGAGCACCCTTTCCATGGGGAAATTCCTCCTGGTGTCCACCCTGAGCTCCCCTGGCCCAGCCTGAGGCTGTTCCCTCTGCTCCTGTCCCAATTCCCTGGAGCAGGGCCCGACTCCCCCGGCTGTCCCTTCCTGGCAGGAGCTGTGGGAAGTGAACAGATGCCATATCCAGGATTCCATGGGAAATCTGTGGTGGGATCACTGACAAGGAGATCTGAGAGCTTCAGGATGTGGGAAATATGAGGATGGACTTCACCCCCCCAAGCACATGGACAATGCAGACATTGCCATCAGGGATTTCTACAGAGTTTTCCCCATGGAATTTTGGAGAAGAGTCCAACTTCCATTTTTATTTTGGGATGCTGACTTGTCTGCATGGGTTGACTGCATTGACTCAACCCAACCATAGATGGAGCCTGAGGTTCAGGCTGGACACCAGCAGGAATTTCCCCATGGAAAGGGTGGTCAGGCATGGGAAGGGGCTGCCCAGGGAGGTTTGGAGTCGCCATCACTGGAAGTGTCCAAGGAATTTCTGGAATTTCAGTGCTCTGGGCTGGGGACAAGGCTGGGACTGGGGACCTGCCAACCATTCCAAGGTGGGATGACTTCGGAATTCTTTTCCAACTCAATGATTCTGTCCAAGGTCCCTCTCACAGACAACACCTCCTCTTTGATGAGCCCCACCCTTTCCTGTGACACCACATGCTCCCTCCATTTTCCATTCCAAAATGTTTTTCTTTTCCATATGGGAGGGAGAAAAGTCGTGCATTCCCCATCCACTGAAGTGTTGTGAGCCAAGCTGGATGTACGTTGTGCTGGGATGGTCAGGAATGTTTCCACAGCCATAAACTCCAGAGGATATCAGGGGAAGGTAGATGGGAATCAAACCATCAACCTTGGCTGCCACAGGAGCAGCTTTTCCTTAGCTCAGGAACTGGGAATCCCTCTGAACCAATGGACTGAGAATGGGAAAGGACGGGATGAGGCTGTGAAAGGTGAGTAGGGTGGAAAACTCCCCAAGAGAGGGTGAGTGTTGAACAGAGAGGACAAAGACACGAATCCTGGGAATACTCACAAACTGTGATTTGTCCGCTGGAGGTGCTTCCGTGATGGATTTCAAGTCCTCCTCAGAGATCCGCTCCATCTCCTCCAGGGCTGACCCGGAGTAAAGGACTGCGTCCTTCACGAAGATGCTGACAGCCCTCAGCATGAAGGACACAAACAGGTGCATGTGGATGTAGTTCCTAGTGCAGTGCAAACGTCTGGAAGAGGAGAAGAAGGATTGGGAAGTTCAGTCCAGCTGTTGGATGAAGCCAGGGCTACTTCTGGCTCTGGAGAGCCCCAGCTCCTCCTACCAGCACTGTGTCCCCATGGGGAGCAGAGAGAGGGTCACGGCTCCCTGCTCTCCCATGGGGTTGGGAAATGGATTTATACCTTCTCCAGGGGCTTCAGGGAATCATGAAATAGTTTGGAATGGATGGGACTTCAAGCCCATCCAATCCCACCCACTGCCACGGGCAAGGACAACTCCCACTATCCCAGGCTGCTCCAAGCCCCATCCAACCTGGCCTTGGAACCTTCCAGGGATCACAGCTACTCTGGGCACCCTATGCCAGGGCCTTCCAACCCTGCCAGCCAGGAATTTCTTCCTCAAATCTGCTCTAACCCTGCCCTCTGGCAGTGGGAAGCCATTCCCGCTCTCCTATCCACTCCTGCCCTTGGATTTCAGAGGCTCCAAAACCTGGGGAAACCTCACAGAACTTCCTGTAAACCATTAATTTTTTTGCCCAACTCAGTTTAGGAGCAACTCCAGCAGTAACTCAGGTGTGCTGGGCTGTTCTCCCTCTTTTCCTGCTGCAAATGTCATCCTTTGGAGCAGCTTGTGGGCTCCACCCCAGCAGTGGCAGCAGTGACCCCACAAATCCCAGCTGTAAAGCGCTTTAAGGTTCTTTTTGGAGGAAAAGCTTTTTTGGGGATGGTGAGAGGTGAATGGGTCAGAACCAGGAAGAAGAGGTGTACTTTGGAATCAGGATTTTGGGAAGAAGGAACTGACCTCTTGGGGTCCCCTCTGTCCTCTGGAGCTCTGGTGCCGTGCCTGGATTTACGAATGGATTTATATTCCTCTTAAATCCCAATAATCTGCACTAATTAAAGGCTGTGTTTTAATCCCTTTTGCAGGATGTTATGATAACAACACCAGTTGTTCGCTGTGCTTTTATAATCCAAATTACACCAAGTGGAACTGATGAGGTTTATTAAATGAGGATTGGCTTTGTTCCCTGCATTTGAAAGGGAGTCAATGAATCTCTGCATTATCGAGGATAAAATCTGGCTTGATCCCTGCTGCTGCTCTGATCCTTGGGATAAAGATGCTCCAGCACAGCTGCCCAGGTCGTCTGGGCTGGAAATGAAGTGGGATAAAGACAGGGATAAAGAAAAACCAGGAATTCTCTTGCACACGTGGACATGGAATATTTTAACAACCATGCGAGTGTCCAGTGGGAAATGAGGTGGAAGGAAAAGGTCAGGAGAACAGGAGTGTGGTGCTGGGATAGGGTCTGCAGGCCCCTTTGGATTGGGTCTGTCATGGATTTGGGATTTGCTGTCCAAGCAAACCCCCCTGACACCTTTCGCTGTCAGCTGAGAGCTCTGAGCACTTTCAGAGCCCAAAGCCACGCATTTCATTCCCGGTGTTCCATGTCCAGGGCTTGGCTCAAGCTTCCCAAATCCCTCTGCAGACACCACGTGGCTGTTTTGGCCACCACCAGCTCTTATCCAGGTCCTGCTGGTTTTTTTTTAGGAGAAGACATGAGCAGACATCGAAGGGAAGAAAATCTGGGGCTCGGGGTTTGGGGTCATCCTCCTCTATGGGGTCACCAGTAGAACATTCCCAAAGGACAAATCCCTGGATACTGGTGACACCTTTCATCCCTCCCATCCCATGCTGTCTGTGCTAGCAAGAATCCCAGAATCCCAGAATGGTTTGGGCTGGAAGGGACCTTAAATATCATCCCAGTCCAATCCCCACACCTTCCCCTATCCCAGGCTGCTCCAAGCCCTGTCCAACCTGGCCTTGGACATTTCCAGGGATGGAAGCTGCAACACTGGATTGAGGAATGCATAATGAGGGTTCAAAGTGGCATTTTGGGGTCTGAATCCCTTGGCAGGGATGGTGGGAAGGGAAGGGAAGGGACACAATGGAGTCAGGAGGATCAGTTTTGGACCCCTGGGAAGAGCAGCAGTGTGGGGAGATTGGAGGAATCAGCCCGGGAGTTTTCCATCCTTTTCAACTGGGTTTTCCTTCACAAACATTTGGATTTAGAGTGGGATTTCCCTTGGGAAATCTTATTTCTCTAAAAATCAGCCATCTAAAGCTAAGCCAGTCACCTGCAGGGACAACAAGGACAGAAAATCCTGGACAATCTTCCAGGGGATTCCTGGAGACACCCCTCTTCCCATTTACTACAAAGAGGGCCTGGAAAACTCCACCTGAGGGAAGTGGAAGGAGTTCCAACATTCCACCCACCATCCCCCGGGAAGTTTGCCCTAAGATACCCTAACACAGCCCAAATCACAGATGCCACCTGAACTGTGCCACCCCAGTTTTATCCTTCCGGAAAAACCCGCGGCTTTTCCGCTGTCGCTTAGGTAAAAACAGAGCCGCCTACCTGAAGTATCCCAGGATAAGGACAGCAACTGTGAGGGATCCCAGGGAGATGGAGTATCCAACAGTATAAATCAAATAGAGGCGATCAAAGACCTCCTGCAGCAGAAACGATGGAGAAAACAGCGTCACATCGGGAACGCGGCCCTACTGCACCACACAACCCTGGCAGAGCCCCGATCCTTTGGGAATCCCATCTTTTTGGCAGCTTTGGGAAGCGGGGTTTTCGTTCCCTGAGGTGGGGAGGTGGGATTCTCCCAAGGGATTTATGATGGAGTGGGGTTAATCCCATACCTGGGAGTTACGCGGTATTTTCATCCCAAAGGAACCCAAAGCGCTTTACAAACTCCTGGCCCAGTTCAGGGATCACTTGGGAATTTTCACCTGGACAAAATGCCTGCTGAGCTGGGAATTTTGCAAGGGATTAACGATGGAGTGGGGTTAATCCCATGCCTGGGAATTTCACAGCATTTCATCCCAAAGGAACCCAAAGCGCTTTACAAACTCCTGACCCAATTCAGGGATCACTTGGGAATTTTCACCTGGACAAAATGCCTGCTGGGCTGGGAGTTTTGATGGAATTGCACAATTTAGCCATTGCTGGATGACTGATGTTCAGCCTGGGGGAGCATAACCCACACCAGAAAACACGGGAAGGAAATACTTTGGCTATGGGATATGAGGAAAAAAAAATCACCTGCGTTTATTTTCCCATTTTTTAAATCCCAAGCAGCCTCTGCCTGTGGTTATCCAATCCAGACACAACCTGAGCTTGCCAAAACGCCACTGGAAAAGGTCCCGTCACAGGAGAGTTCCTAATAATTAATCCTTTAGGAAGTTTTAGGTTGCTATTTTCTAAAGCTGGCCTTGAAACCCTGAGGTTTCCATTAAATATTGGGATATTTTCCTTGATCAAACTCAGGCATTCCTGCAAAGGGTTAAAATGCCTGCCCCCTCCATCCCAGCCTGTCCTGCCTTTCCCAGACTGATTTTAGCGAAAAAAAATTCCAAAAAACCCAACCAGTTCAGCATCGTTCTCCTCATTCCCTCCTTTCCCTCGCCCTGCCCACGGGGCTGAAATAACGTCAGGAATGCTGGGCTCTGAATGACAGCTCTGATTGGGATTTGAGGCTTGGAACGCTGTCCTGGAATGCCAAACCTCAGCCCTATTACATCAGAATCCACAGATTTGGGAATGTTTCTCTGCGGTTTGCACTGGAGGAGTGAAGCCCTTGCCAATATTAATTTACTGAGTGTGTCTGTGCGTATTTATGGGATATTTTTATAGATTTTTATAGATCTGTCTGTGCAGGCAGCAGGCCCTGAAAAGCCAAGAAGAAGAGATTTCAAAGCTTTCAGAGAAAAATATCTTGGTGTGATTTCCCTGCTGCCAAGCTGGAATCCTCTTGGAGTTGGAAAACGGTTGCCTCCATAGTAAAAAAATGAAATAATAATAATAATAATAATAATAATAATAATAATAATAATAATAATAATAATAATAATAATAATAACATCAATCTCACTCTAAGGTTGGAGTTTTCAGTAAAACAAAAGTTGTGAGGCCTTAACAAAACATCCCTGAGCCCCATTCACAAATTTCACTGGGAAGATCCACGTTCCTACGGGTGGGAGTGTCCTTGGGAAGAGCCTCTGGATTGGCAGGAGGTTTTGGAAAGTTGAGTGCTCTGATTGACCACAGAGCCTCTCTTTAAAAGGAGATTGAGCACCAAGAGCCAAGAAAGATTCTCCTGGAGCCTTCCTTGGAGGAGGGGGTGTCCCAAATCCTACCTGGAGTCACTCTGGAAAGCCTGTGGGAAATGTGATTTCCTGGAGGGGGTACTCAGATCCTTGGGAAACCCTTTGGAGCAAAAAACTGAGGTTCTCCACTTCCACTTCTCCTCACGTGGAGCTCAGGACTGGTAGTTCCCAGGAGCTTTTCCTCTCTGGATTTACCCATGAGGGGACAAAATCTCCAGAGGAGTTCCATGTATCCCAAGGGAGCTCCCGACTCCATGAAAACCACAACGAGCAACCAGGAAAGATCCTCCAGGTAGGAAAATATTGAATGATCTGCCAGCTGCAATGACGATCTCCATGGTCTGAGGAGCGTCCTTAGGGAGCTGAGAAGGATGGGAAGTTAAATAATTCCCAGAAAACCACAAAGGCCATGATGGCCAAGCCATGGACACAACCTGGAGATCCATCACTCCAGGAAGTTCCCACCTGAAGTCTCCTGGAAGCCCATCCTGAGGAGAGACTGACCATCCCTGGTCATCCCTTGTTGGAAGAGGCCAAACCTGGCTTTGCCATGAGATCCTGTTCTATAAACTGACAGGATTCAATTTAATTATCATTTAATCAGAATATTCAGGGCTTTGAGCAACCTGGGCTGGTGGAGGTGTCCCTGCCCAGGACACAGAGCTGGAACTGGCTGGACTTCAAGGTCTCTTCCAACCCCAATCAATTCAGGATTCCAAGATTCCATGAATTAAATTCCTGCAGGAACCCTCCACTCTTTCAACTGTTGCCATGTGTGCAAAAGGAAAAGGAAAACCAGACAGAGCAGGAATTTTCTGGTGGCAGATCCTGTCCTGAGTTTCATGGAGCTGTGCCCTGTATCCAAATTTTTCCTTTCATCCTCTTTATTCCCCTTTAGCAAGACACCAGGAGCAGTGGGGCTGTGAAGCTGGCAGGGATACAGTGCTTTTTGAGGAATGGGAAGGCTGTGAAGGGAAGCATAAATCAGGATTTTCCAGATGGAATTTCTGCAAAGTTTCTCCGAGCTGCTGATTCTGATGTCATTAAGGACACATTTGGAATCGGGGGTTTGCTGCTTCGAGTGATAAACAAAGCCAGAAAATCTCTGTCCTTGCTTTTCTTGTCTTTTTGGTATTTTTTACAGGAAAATGGGACTAAATAAAAAGATAAATGGGATATTCAGAAAAAGGGATATTCACAAAAGGCACGGAACAGGCACTGATTTCCAAAGCCTCAGGGAAAACTTTGAGTGTTGATGACCCAGTTCCTGCAGGACTCTGCTCCCTGCATCCACAGAGATTCCAGGCTCTTAAATCCTCCCAATCCGGAGCGTGAGAGCGTGACTGGGATCAGCTCTCACAAAAGATCCCCAATTTAGCCTCAGACACTCCAATTTACTCTCAGACACCTCAATTTAGACACGCATGTCCATAAAAATCATCTTTAAGTTCCTTTTCAACCCAAACCATTCCAGGATTTTTGGATTCTATTTCCAGGAACGCACCAGACCAAATCCATAGGCATGGAATGAGAATGGCACCTCGGGGTTAATTGAAATTATGAACAAAACATCTCTCAGATAATTTTTTGTATTCCTCCACAGACTTTAAAACCTCTGCCTGACACTTTGCTGACATTCCTTTGTGGAAATTGGGGACAAAACAATCCAAACCCGTTCCTGTGCCGTCACTTTGAGGCTCCACAAAGTTGTTTGCTTTTCCCAGGACCCCAGAGAGCTCCAGGATTGCTGCTTGGAACAATGGGGTTTAGATAAAGCAGCCCTGCAACACGCTGGGCCCTTCCCATTGTGTTTGGAAGGGGATGGATTCTCCAGGCCCCTCCGAATTCCCGGGAAGCCGTAAAAGCCTCACGCTACAAACAAGCAGGAGCAGATGAAGACAGGATTGGGGTTGGATCTGAGGATGGCCCATCCTGCTGGTGGTGGTTCCCAAGCTGAGCCAACCTCCCAAGTTGCTGGCTCCGACTCTCCTTCCCCAGGATTTTGGGAGATGGAGATCCCATTCACCCTTCAGCTCACCCTTGGAAAGAGGATGGGTTTGAGCTGCTTTAAAAAGCAGCTGTGTTTGGCATCCCTGTTCTTTTTGGGGAGATGGGAATGAGGGGAATTCCTGGGAATGCCATTGCTGCTGCCACTGTTAGAAAAAGTGACCGGAAAAATGATCCTGCTGCTATTGGCTGGATGTGTGGAAGGTAAGGGATCCACAGCCTGTCAGTTGTATGGAATTTGGGGAGAAATGGGCTAAAAAGCTGCCTGAGGTTCATATCTGTCATCTGTGCTGTGTTTTTTTTCCAAAGATTCAGGAGCTCCAGGAACACAGGTCACCCTCCCTCCTGATTTTAAGGGAATTCAGGGAACAAAGGAGAAGGGCCAGGACAAAAGTCCTTTTAACTCTGCTCCCTGTCTCCTTCATGGCCTGGAAGGGGTGCTTAGGGAAGAGTGTGGGAACAGAAGAAATCCACAATAAATGTGAGCTGCTGAAACAAATCCAGAGGAGGTCACAGAGCTGTTCCAGGGCTGAAGCCAGGCTGGGAGAGCTGGGAATGTTCACCTGGAGAGGAGAAGGCTCCAGAGAGAGCTCAGAGCCCCTGCCAGGGCCTGAAGGGGCTCCAGGAGAGCTGGAGATGGACTGGGGACAAGGGATGGAGGGACAGGACACAGGGAATGGCTCCCACTGCCAGAGGGCAGGGATGGATGGGAGATTGGGAATTGGGAATTCCTGGCTGGGATGGAATTCCCAGAGCAGCTGTGGCTGCCCCTGGATCCCTGGCAGTGCCCAAGGCCAGGTTGGACTGTCCCAAGAGCAGCCTGGGACGATGCAGGTGTCCCTGCCATGAGGGACAAGACCACCCAGTGCCACCCCTGCCATGGCAGGGACACCTCCCACTATCCCAGGCTGCTCCAAGCCCTGTCCAGCCTGGCCTGGGACATTTCCAGCTGATTGTTCACTCCCTCTTTAATGTTATCTGGTAGGAATTTGAGGAAATGCTTCCCTGGATTGCTTCATCCTACCTGACTAAAGGAGGAATCAACCTCCAGGGCTGCCAATTCCCATCCTCCAGTGGGAATTTTCCCTGAGGAAGCAGCCCAGGAGCAGTTGCTCCCCGGGCAGTTACGAGCTGTTAATTCTGCAGGCTCTGATGGCTTTAACACACTTTACTCTTTGCAGAGGGCGGTTTCCGAGCTGCTCTGTGTGAAATAATCCCCATTTATTCAGGGCAGGACACCAGCTTGCTCTGGGGCCCTCTTGTTTGCTGCTTGGGCCAATCTTAAAATTATCCCAGCATGGCTAAAATGGGAAAACTCCCCACCTAAACAAACATCCCTGGCTGGAGATGTGCGCACGCACGTGGTGTTTATTTAGGTGTGGATATCTCCAGCTATCTATAGGTTCAGGCCTGTTTCCAGAGATAGCCAGCAAATCCATATATTTATAGCCACAGACAGTTGGTTTGGTGTTTTTTTTTTGTTTTTTTTTTTCCCCTAAAAGCCCAGTTTCTTAAAATTCCCTCTGGTTGCATCTGCTCGGAGTCAGCCACGATCTCCTGGCAAAACGTTGGGTAAATGCAGCTGTTGGTGGTGACGCAAAGATGCCGCTCCCCAGGGAGGGAAATAATAATAGAAAACCATCTCTCGCTCAAGACAACAGCTCAATGTGGCCAAATTCCCCTGTTCTGACATCTCTGGACATATTTACTCCGTGAAAAAGAGATATCAAAGGAAGGTTTATTAATCCCAGGGCTGCAGTGCCACATTTATGTGTGACAAGAGGCCTTGTGCGCTCTCTGTGAGTAAAGGCATTGGCACACCGAGGGAAAAAGTGCATTTTTTTCCCCCCTTTTTTATTTCCAGAGTGGTTTTTTATACCCCAAGGCCCAAGAAACCTGAGTGGATGCACAGATAGTGGTTCATTTGTCACCAGAATTCAGCCACTTCTGTGATAAAACCAGGGAATTCCATGACAAGGCACAGAATCGCTCAGGGCAGGGCTGAGGAAAAGACCTCTTACAAACACAAGGCTAATAATAATAATAATGTTAAAATTAATAAAGAGATGTTGTTGAAAATGTACTCCATGAAAAAAAGAAATCAAAGGAAGGTTTATTCATCCCAGGGCTGCAGTGCCACATTTATGTGTGACAAGAGGCCTTGTGCGCTCTCTCTGTGAGTAAAGGCATTGGCACACTGAGGGAAAAAGTGCATTTTTCCCCCCCTCTTTTATTTCCAGAGTGGTTTTTACACCCCAAGGCCCAAGAAACCTGAGTGGATGCACTTTATTTGCCACAATAATTTATCCACCTCTGTGATAAAATCAGGGAATTCTGTGACAAGGCACAGAATTGCTGAGGTGAGGCCAGGCCTGAGGAAGAGACCTCTTGCAGGTATAAAGTTAATGATAAGAATAAAAATCGATAAATAGACGTCATTAAAAAGCATTTGTTGATCAAGATATGATTTAAAATCTGGCAGAAACATCAATTTTTTCCTTGTTCTTTGCCCTGGGTAAGCACCACTTAAGTAAGACCAGCCTGGACATTTAATCTGAACAGTGATGATGGTTTAATTTGTCTTAATATTAAATATTATTCCATTCACCTCTGTAGCTATGACAGAAAATTCCTGGCAAAAGATGCCTCAGCTTTGGCTACAGGATAATGAGGGTGAGGATTTTGGGGTGGGTAATTAAAACAGTTCCTTAAGGGAGAGCTTATGAGGAGCAGTAATTTTCCAAGAGGTTGAGAATAAAAACGAGGTGACACCTCCTGTAAATGTCTCTGCTGGGAAGCACAGCCCGAGTCCCCTGTGCTGTGATTTCCCCTGTTGTTGGAACCCTGGCTGCTGAGAATTTCAGACTTTCTGTGCTGCCAGGCACTGACCCCCAGGAGAACACTGCATTGACCTGAGGCCGTGGAGAAGCTTCCAAAATGGAATGACAGAACTGGGATTGTGGATGTGGAGTTTGAATAGAAGTGTGTGATATCACAGGGTGGGAAACTCAGAGTTTAAGGGTTTAGAATAGATATAAAGCAAGATGGAGGTTTTGGGGCAGAGGCTTCTCCTCCCTTCTCCTTCTCCTTCTCCTTCTCCTTCTCCTTCTCCTTCTCCTTCTCCTTCTCCTTCTCCTTCTCCTTCTCCTTCTCCTTCTCCTTCTCCTTCTCCTTCTCCTTCTCCTTCTCCTTCTCCTTCTCCTTCTCCTTCTCCTTCTCCTTCTCCTTCTCCTTCTCCTTCTCCTTCTCCTTCTCCTTCTCCTTCTCCTTCTCCTTCTCCTTCTCCTTCTCCTTCTCCTTCTTTCTCCTTCTCCATGGGTTTGGGTGGTTTTGTGCAATTGGATAAAAAAGTCCCCATTGCAGGCACGGGTGGTTGGTTATTGGGTTAAAAGTAAAAATAATTCAGGTGTCATTTCTGAATTGGAGATTTGATCATTAAAAGACCTTGTAGAGAGGGAGATGGGCTCCATTTTTAGTTTGTCAGAGTGAAAGGCTGCAGAACTCAGGGTTTGTGGGACTGTGACAGAGACAAGAACTGATAAACACCTGAGTCCCAACAAGAAATGCTGTCTCACACGTTTAATCTCAGCCCTGGCAAAAAGAAGCAAAGACTCCTCACCCTGTGACCACTCAGGGGACACAGACAAAGTCAGGCACATCAAACCCACCACAGGAGATTTTGCTTTCAGCCTTTTAAATCACCCTGGAGGTGGAAAGTCTCCATGTTTTCCTTGTGGTGGGAAAAGAAGAAAAAGGAGGCAACTCTGTTGTTCTTTTTGCCCTTCCTTTAGCAAGTCACCCTGACAAGTCCTGCCAGTGGGAGGTTCAAAGGGAAGGATGTCCTTTCCCTAGGGGAAGTTTTGGAAATCATCTGGACAATTCCCACCCCAGGGTGTGGCTGAGGGTAGTGGGACAGGGGAGCTGATTTCACAGACGTCAAAAGTTTATGCATTGATCAAGGTGCTCCATGACCCCAACACCTGCTCCAGGACCTTCCTGGAAAACTCCAGGGTTAAAAGAGTTTGTTCCACTATGAACTGGGAAAAATCCCACCAAACTGGTTCTGGAAGGGAACAGCATCCAGGTCTTTGCTGGAGTGGCTGGAGCAGCACCCAGTGCACACAATCCTCTGCTCCTTGTCCATATGAGAGAAAACACTCAGCAGCTCTAAGAACTCATTTCCTCCTTTCCCTCATTTCCTTATTTTCCTTAATCGTTTCATTTGGGAGTTGTTTCACTCTTAAGGAGAAAAAAGCAACAACAACAACAACAACAACAGAAAAGCAACAAAAAATGAAAAACAAGCAAACAAACAAACCAAACAAAAAATAAATCAAAAAACGATCAAAAAAAATATAACAAAACAAAAGAATCAAAAAGCCCTACTCTGTGGTTAGATTTAAAATTAAGAACATTGTCCCGAAGGGCCCCGGGATCATCCTCAAGGAAGCTGTGGTTAGATCCTTATCTCCAGCTGTCTGGGATAATCTTCCCTCCTCCTTGCAGCTGCCCAGTCCCTGGTGCCATGCCTGTATCTACGGGGACTCTTCCAAGAACCACTGAAAAACCAGAGGGTTTGGGTGAATTCTTTGGGAATTACAGGTGCGTGTGGGTGAGAACGTCATTCTCTGTGGGACAAGGAGGTCACATCCTCCCGAGTGACACCAGGGACAGCTTTGCTGTCACCTTAGCATGGAATTCCTTCCAGACTTCTGGCATTACAGAGCCCCAGGCTGGGTCATGGGGAGGAAGGAAGTTTCTGCCAGCTGCTATTTTATCATTATCTGAATTTTTGTAAATTTATGGCTCATGGATATTTTTCCCCACCCCAGGAGTATGCCAGACCCTCTCCATGTGCTTTGAAACCCTTTTCCAACTTTGGAATGCTGTCACTGTTTCCAAATTGTGACTACACCATAATTAATTCAAGATCATGGAATACCAGTTGGGTTTGGGTGGGAAGGGATCTTAAGGATCATCCCATTCCACTCTCTGCCATAGGCAGGGACACTTCCAACTGTCCCAGATTGCTCCAAGCCCCATCCAGCCTGGCCTTAGACAATTCCAGGGATCCAGGGGCACCCACAGCTGCTCTGGGCACCCTGTGCCAGGGCCTCCCCCCACTCCTAGCCAGGAATTCCTTCCCAATATCCCACCTAATTCTACTTCTTTCAGCTCAAAGCCATTCCCTGTGTCCTGTCCCTCCATCCCTTGTCCTCAGTCCTCTCCAGCTCTCCTGGAGCCCCTTCAGGCCCTGGCAGGGCTCTGAGCTCTCCCTGGAGCTTCTCTTCTCCAGGCTGGACACTCCCAGCTCTCCCAACCAGTTGTTCTGGGTTTGATTCCACATGTGTTTGGACATCCCCTCCCAGAGACAACCACATAAACATTGGAATTTTTGATAACAACCTGGCAGCAAAAGGGTTTCCTGCTGTGGCAGAGGCAGCCTCAATGCCATGGAATAACCTCCAACCACTTCTGAGCGTCCCCGAGACTGCTCCAATTTTCCCCAAGATCTCTTCAGGAATGGGACCATGGCAGCTGCAGGAAACTTTTCTGCCTTTGAGGACAATTTTCCAATCAAATCATTGCCCATCAAAGCACGATGTGGCTTTGGCAAGCTCAGGAAGGGTTTCCAAGAGGAGGAAGATGAGCTGGGGCTCATCTGGGGTTTTAAATGAGACAGAGGTCCGCGGGTTAGCCTGGCGTGAGGCCAGAAATTCCTGCTGCCTGCAGGAATGGGAATGCCTACCCTTTCCCTCGTCTCGTTGGTGAGGAACTTGGCGCACTCGCTGTAGTTGGCCCAGGTGCGGTTGTTGCCCGGGACCAGCTCCCAGCTCCCGTTCAGGTCACACCGGCGATAAGCGTGGCCTGCCGAGAGAGAGGAGACACGGATGAGTGGGAAAATGGCAGGAAATTCATCCCAAATTCATCCCTGCTGAGAGAGAGGAAACATGGAATCAGGGGGAAAACGGTAGGAAATGAATCCCAAATTCATCCCTGCCGAGAGAGGAGACACGGAATCAGCGGGAAAATGGTGGGAAATGAATCCCAAATTCATCCCTGCTGAGAGAGAGGAAACACGGAATCAGGGGGAAAACGGTAGGAAATTCATCCCAAATTCATCCCTGCTGAGAGAGAGGAAACACGGAATCAGCGGGAAAATGGTGGGAAATGAATCCCAAATTCATCCCTGACGAGAGAGAGGAGACATGGAATCAGTGGGAAAACGGTGGGAAATTCGTTGGAAAAGTTGGAAGAATATTTTGGGCTTCTATTGCTACACACAGTTCTTGGGGTAAAAAAAATCCAGGTTTGGGAATCACCAGGATTTACAACTAGGAGCTGTGAGCAGATAATTGGTGTTTAGAACGTCGCAGTCTGTGAGGGACAAGTGGCAATTTTGCGATTATTTCAGTTCCAACTGAGCTTTTTTCCCCAATAATTTATGTTTATCAATAAACAACGGCCGCTCCTTTCCTTCCTTCCTTTTCCCTGGCTTTACTCCTGTTTGGAAGGGAGGCACCACGTGAGGAAAAAGGGATGACGAGGGGAATTCTGAATTTGCTGGCTGTCAGGGATGTCCTTTGTGCATCCCCCAAGCTCTGCTGGTACTGACAGGGAGAAATTCCCACTTTCTGCTCCCAGACACCTGCCAGGGCTCTGGACAAAGGATTAATGAAGCCGGTGGCAGAGAATAAAAGTTGGAAAAATATTTTGGTTTCTACTGGTACACACAGTTCATGGAACCCAACAAATCCAGGTTTGGAAATTGCCAGGATTTACAGCTGGGAGCTGTGAGCAGATAATTGGTGTTTAGAACGTCACACTCTGTGAGGGGCAAGTGGCAATTTTGCGATTATTTCAGTTCCAACTGAGCTTTTTTCCCCAATAATTTATGTTTATCAATAAACAACGGCTGCTCCTTTCCTTCCTTCATTTTCCCTGGCTTTACTCCTGTTTGGAAGGGAAGCACCACGTGAGGAAAAAGGGATGATGAGGGGAATTCTGAATTTCCTGGCTGTCAGGGATGTCCTTTGTGCATCCCCCAAGCTCTGCTGGTACTGACAGGGAGAAATTCCCACTTTCTGCTCCCAGACACCCGCCAGGGCTCTGGACAAAGGATTAGTGAAGCCGGAGGCAGAGAATAAAAGTTGGAAGAATATTTTGGGGTTCTATTGCTACACACAGTTCATGGAGCCCAACAAATCCCAGTTTGGAAATTGCCAGAATTTACAACTGGGAGCTGTGCACAGGTAATTGGTATTTAGAACGTCACAGTCTGTGAGGGGCAAGTGGCAATTTTGTGATTATTTCAGTTCCAACTGAGCTTTTTTCCCCAATAATTTATGTTTATCAATAAACAACGGCTGCTCCTTTCCTTCCTTCCTTTTCCCTGGCTTTACTCCTGTTTGGAAGGGAGGCACCACGTGAGGAAAAAGGGATGACGAGGGGAATTCTGAATTTCCTGGCTGTCAGGAAGGGTCTGTGCTGGCTCCACACCCACCTTTGTGGTTGAAGTCGTAGATGTACTCGGGGCAGGGCATGGCCACCACCTTGCCGGGCACGCCCTCGGGCCAGCACACGATGCCGTCCCACTCTGGAAGGCAGAAGCCATCTGTGGGAGAGAACGGGGACAAAGAGGAGTCACTGCCTCTGCGGAGGTGACACCAGTGTCCCCCTGCTTGGAGAGGGCTCTCCGTGAAGAACCAGCGCTGGCATTCCATTGGGAAACCCGCCCTGGGAATATTGCCAATTCCTTCTTAGTGTGTGGCTCTAGAAGGTGTGAATTATCCCAAGTTTTATTCCACAAGGACAAACTGTGTCCAGCTCTGGGATCGCTGGGATCAGATTGACATGGCGCTGCTGGAGAGAGTCCAGAGGAGGCAAACCCAGAGAAGTTTCTCCCGGGGCTGGAGCCACTCTGCTCTGGAGTCAGGCTGGGAGAACTGGGAATGTTCACTTGGAGAGGAGAAGCTCCAGGGAGAGCTCAGAGCCCCTGCCAGGGCCTGAAGGGGCTCCAGGAGAGCTGGAGAGGGACTGGGGACAAGGGATGAAGGGACAGGACACAGGGAATGGCTCCCACTGCCAGAGGGCAGCAATGGATGGATGGGTATTGGGAAGGAATTCCTGGCTGAGAGGGTGGGGAGGGTCTGGGATGGAATATCCAGAGCAGCTGTGGAAGAGTCCAAGGCCATGCTGGATGGGGCTTGGAGCAGCCTGGGATAGTGGGAGGTGTCCCTGCCCATGGTAGAAGGTGGAATGGGATGATCTTTCCAGGTCCTTGGGACCTTGCTGAATTCCAGAAGTTTCCTCCCTGCCCATCTCCCCAACCTGTCCAGGTCCCTCCACAATCCCCCCAAGGCATCGCTCGCTCCCAGCTCTGTGTCCTCAGGGAACTCCTCTGCTTTGGGCTGGGGAGCTGCACCCACCCATGAAATTCCAGCTGCAGTGCAATACTGAGAATGAAATGCTCAAAGTGGCAGATCCACCCCAAATCTGCTCCCAGAGCTGTGTCTGCCCTCAGCCACGAGGTTATTGAACATTGGACACAGGAGTTACCTGGGAATCAAAAGGAACAGGAACCACCTGCTCTCATCCACAAAAAACCTCCTCGCAGAACTAAATCCAAATAGAGCCAAGATCTCAGCATGATCCATGGATATCAAAGCTTCCCACTACTCAGGAATTCATCCTTCCTCACCAACGTGATTCCCCAAGATTAAAGGAAAACCAGGATTGCTTCGAAGCCCTTTGGCTGGTCTAAGCTCAGAGCCGACACAGATTGATTCAGTTTGGTGGTTTTTAGGATGCGGAAAACACTGAAAATCTCCTCATTTAGCAGCTGATTTCTTATCTCCTATTTAGTGTGGATGAAAAGGACCAGACAAATTGCAGCCTTTCTTCTAAAACATCAACTGGGAGTGAGGGTCAGGAGCAAAAATTCCTCCACATCCGCGTGATAAAAAAGAGGGAAATAATTTATTGCATTTTGTCTGCTTAAAGTCCCACCAGGAGAAGAAAAATACATTTCCTATTCATGAAAACTGAGAAAATCCTTCCCTCTGGCTCATTATTTGCAGGATAATTTACACTGGGAAAAAAGAGTTTATTTATTTCTCAGTTCTCTGGAAGGTACAAAAGACAAAGGAAAAAACCAAAAAACAACACAGGGCCCCACAAAATTTGGCTCAGGACAAAATGTTGATGTCCTTGACATTTTTTCTGCAGACAAGAAAGTAAATAAAGATTTAATGGAGCCCTCAAAGTGCTCTTGCCTAAAATAAAATCAGTTCTTATGACAAAATAAATCAATTTGAGTAAACATTAAAAGAAACACAGTGGAGAAACAACTCTGAGAGAAAAACAGTCCTCCTAAAGTGCTCTGAAATTAGAAGGAAAATCTCCCACTTTTCCAAAATCTTTGCACATTGCAAAGGGCAATTTCAAGTGGTTTCATTTCGCATCCCACTGATATATGTGGCCAGAAAAGAAGAAAGTGCTAAATTTTGTGGTGGGTGCATTCTCTTTGTGATGGAAACATGGAAAACTGAAAACAAACCACACAATTATTGATTTTTGGGTGCTTTGAGCCCCTAAAATCGTCCCCAAAAGCTGAAGGGAACGGTGGTGGGACACCTCTGGAATGCTGCTTTATGGGGGGACAAACTGGGGAGCCAAGAGGTGCCATAGAAATATTTCAAAAGATGATTTTTGCATTTAGAATTTTGACCTCTGCATGGAAATGATTCCTTAAATGATTAATCCTGAGTCACCCTGAGTATTGAATCCTGATAAGAATCCAGTGAGACTCAAAATTTGGGAAGTGTCTGAGCTTCCCAACAAAAGAATCCATCGTTGTTACCAAGACCTGAACCCCTCCCAGAGAAATCTTTTCCCCCTCCTCTCCATCATTTCTGGCCTCTTTCTCCCCATTCCTTTCTTGGAAAAGCTATTCCAGGAAAATTTGGAGGAGGGATAAAACATCTCAGTGATCATTTCCTTCCTGGAATTCCCCGGTGATGGATGATGAGTTAAGGGAAGGGCTGGTGGATATTTTGGATCTGCCACCTGGACACCCCCCACTAAAATTCAGGATAACACAGCTGTTCCCTGAAAATCCCGGGAGCCACGGGGGAAGGAGAGAGGATTTGGGTCGGGAACAGGGATTGCAGGTAGGGGAACCTGGTGAGGAACATCCACAGGTCAACCCGGGTGCCTCTGGAGCTCCTGGAATGATTTGAGGAGCTCCTACACTGACTGAAACTCTTGGAAAACCTCTTTCAAATGGAAATATGGACGGATATCAGGAGCAGTTGCACTTTGGGATTGTTGGATTAACATTCCTGGGGTTTAACACAGCCAAAAGCTGTTCGTCCTGCAGAGGAGCCTCACCATCCTCCTCTCCTATCCCAAATCCCTCCAATCCTCCCATCTAAGGAGACCTCCCAGGAGCACAAGGAGGGATGGGCTTAAACCACAGCAGGGTTCATTCCCACTAATTACAAGGAATATTTTTTTTATAATGAGGGTGGTGAAACACTGGGAAAGCCTTTCCAGAGAATTTGCGGATGTCTCATCCCTGGAAGTGTCCAAGGCCAGGCTGGATAGGGCTTGGATCACCCTGGGACAGCAGAGTTGTCCCTGTCATGGCAGGGGTGGAACTGGATAGGCTTTAAGGCCCCTCCCAAACCCAAATCATTCCATGAACCTCTGATAAAACAGGAAGGGAAAATCCCGTATTTCCCATTGTGCTGGAATCCAAACAAGCCATTCCTTTCTGCTTGTTTGCCCAAAGAGCTCCTCCAAATATTGTTTTCTTGAACTTCTAAAAACATTCACGGTACCAAAAACTTGGCTTCTCCCTTTGCGTTCCTTTCCTTCTGGCCATTTCACCAAGGAGATCCAGGCTGAATTCCAAGAAGAAAGTAGAAAATTGGGAAAGGTTGACCTGGTAATCCGTCCCTCCTGAGACACTGGTAATAATATTCCAAAGCACAGAGAATTCCAAAGGATCCAGTTGGAAAATCTTATTGAAAACCTCTTGGAATTTTGGCAAAAATGAGTTTGAGGGTCCAGTTGGAAAAGCTTATTGAAAGCCTCTTGGAATTTTGGCAAAAATGAGTTTGAGGGTTTCACTGTGCTGTTTGCATCGATCCAGGTAGTTCAGGATGTGGAACTGGAAAAGACAAACGTTTCTTTCCTTGGAAGAAATAGTAGGAAAAGCTTATTGAAAACCTCTTGGAATTTTGGTGAAAATGAGTTTGAGTGTTCCACTGTGCTGTTTGGACCGATCCAGGTAGTTCAGGATATGGAACTGGAAAAGACAAATGTTTCTTTTCTTGGAAGAAATAGTAGGATTCACGGATGATGGAAGTCCAAAGGAATTCATAAACTATTAAGAAAACAAGGAAGTCTCACACATATCCCACATCCCAGAGTGTTTTGGGTGTGTCTCCATCATCCAGGCAATGCTGAAGGGACAATCGTGTTTATGCCTCAGGGATTTGTCTCCTCCTCCGAATCCAGAGCTGCATCTCTCATGGATGGGGACAGGAAGGTGGGAATGACACTGGAATTCCTCGTGATTTGAGGACATCATCGACCACTTCAGTGCTGGAGAAACGAGTCCTGAAGGGAAATATGGGATCCCTCCAGGATCCCATTGGCTCGTGTCCACCAGGACATCTCTTGGATCTCTCCTTCCCCCTTGAAGCACATGGAAGTTGCAGTAATTCCAAGATGGGAACAAGCAAAAACTCTCTTGGATGACATTCCTGAAGAAATGAGACTTGAAGGGAAGCATGGGATCCCTCCAGGATCCCCTTGGCTCTTGTCCACCAAGACATCTCCTGGATCAATCTTTTCCTGTTGGAGGTTGGAATCTCAGGACGTGGAAGCTGAAGTCATGCCAAGATGGGAACAAGCTAAAACACTCCTGGATGTCATTGCTGCAGGATTTCCTTCTGGAAGGCAGGAAGGCCAATCCCAGAACACTTAGGGAAGGGGCTATCCCAAACGCATCCCTCATTTTGCTCCTTGATTTTACTCCCCAGCCTGAGCCAAGTCAGAATCCCAGAGGTTACTTTGGTAGAAGACAGAAAAGTCGGAGCAAATTTGGGCCATACCTGCTCAGGGTGCACGGAGAGTCATTCCCTCCTTCCTGCTCCTATCCCATCCGCCTTTCCCTTTCCCTTCCTGCTCCTTTCCTTTCCCCCAGCCTCAATTCCACACTTTGCATGTGGAGAACGCATTCCGACCATCTGCGAGGCTCCTTGGCAGCTGCACAAACGCAAACACGGGCTCGAGGTGTTTATCCAGGGGCACGGAATATAAATCAGCCCGGCTCATTCCGGCACCCGGGAGACCACAGTTGGAATACGCTGTGTGATTGTGGTCACTCCATTACGGGAAGGACATTTGGGGCATTGGAAGCAGGCGGGGAGGAGCGACCCAAAAAAAAAATGAGGCAGCGTTTTGGGATAGGAAGGGAGAGAAATCATTTGGGGATTGGAAAGGAGAGGAATTGTTTTGGGATAGGAAGCGAGAAAATAATTTGCAGATAGGAAATGGGAGGAATCATTTTGGGATAGGAAGGAGGAAAAATCATTTGGGCAT